GTCTCCTGTCAACAGACACTTGGGTTGTTTCTGTTATTTTTACTATTACATATTTTGGCAATAAACATTGTTATGAGTTGCTTAGGGAATACGATTAGGAGTGGGATTGCTAAGTCATAAGGTATGTGTGTCGTTAACTAGATATTGCCAATTTGTCCTCCAACTTGGTTGTTCTGATTTACACTCTCACCAGAAGCATATGAGTCCTCTCACTCAACATTCTTACCAACACTTGATATTGTCTGGTTTAATCATTTTTGCGAATCTGAAGTGTGCATAATGGTATCTCCGTAGATTTAATTCCCTGATAGGTAGTGATAGTGAATGTTGTTTATTACGTTTATTGAATATTTGTATTTCCCCTCTGTGAAGTGTCTGTCAAAACTTTTGAGCAATTTTCTATTGGTAGTTTTTCCTTTTCTCACTGATTTTTAGAAGATATGTTCCTTTATCAGATAGCTATTTAGAAGATACAAGTCCTTTATCAGCTCTGTGCGTCACAAGTACCTTCTTCCAGTGTGGCTTGTCTTTTCTTTCTCTTTATGGTTTCTTTAAATGAGCAAAACTTCTTAATTTTAATTTTGTCAAAATTATAGCTCTTTTCCTTTATGTTTTGCAATTTTGAGTTGTGTTTTGAAAGCTCTCCCTACCATGAAGTCATGAAGATATTTCTTTATATTTTCTTTAAATATTTTTATAGTTTTGCTTTTTACATTTAATTAATTGTTATGTATGGTTTATGTTGGAATTTAATTTTTTTCTCCCATATGGGTAACTATACGTTTCCTATTTGTATCCAATTTATAATGTATATTCTATACATTTCCTAATTTCTTGAATTTTGGTTTCTCCTTAATTGAATTATGTACTGTGGGAAGGTTAGGTGTTTCTCATGGAAGCCATTTGGAAGCTTCTGACTTGATGTCTGATGCCTAAATGATATTTTCTTGCATCCAGGTGGGGCAGCGGGACCAGGTTCTGCCTCAGGTATGGAATAGTCTGGCTTCCCCCAACTCCCTGCTCTGTCACAGATCAAGTTTCCAGATGTGTTCTGTTTGTCTATTCCTGTGGCATTAACACATTGTCTGACTACAATAGTTTTAAATATGTTTTCATATCTGGTTGGGCAAACCCCCTACACTGTTCTTCTGTAGGAGCGTCTTTGCAACTTCTGGCTCCTTGCTTTTCCATGCAAATAGTAAAGTCAGCTTGTCAAATTCCAGAAAAGATAAATTTCCAGACTCAGCTTGTTTCAATTAACCATAATTATTCTTTACTCTTTTGATGCTTAAATTGTCACAATTTCGCCCCTTTTTAAATTGGAGCCTTTGTCCTTTGAGGCCTACAACAGACATTTTTAAAAGCATCTGAGTTTTCTGACCACTAAACATTATTCCAGTTCTGGACCTAATCTATGGAATCAACTACTTCTAATGGGGAATAGTGAAAGAGAGCATGACTTGGACACTGGGTTATGTGTATCTAATTGTGCCATGTGAATACTGTTTTTTTGTTTTGTTTTGTTTTTGGTAGGGGTGGTAATTAGGTTTATTTATTTATTCTTGGAGGAGGTACTGGGGATTGAACCCAGGACCTTATGCATACTGAGCATGTGCTCTACCACTTGAGCTATACCCCCCCGTGCCACTTGAATCCTGGTGATAGAAAAATATTGCAGAGCCTCTAGTGAGAGCTCAAAAAAAAGTATTTCTTTCCAAGGTCTTGAATTCATACGAATAGTTCCAGTGAATTCTAACATCACAAAATTAAAAAAAAAATTTTTTTTATTGTAACAAAAGTTTTAATTTTATTTTCTCTAAACTTAATTACTATGTACTTGTAATGATAATTGTACCTCCTCTTAAGTAGGAGATTTCATCAACTGTCATCACCTTTTGTTGCATTTACATGTACAAAGATCTGAGATTAGTTTTAGGCTTCTTCACATTCAGAGTCTAAATGATTCTTTTTACCACTATGGTAACAGGCTGCTCCCTATCATCCCAGCTGAGGACCCCAACTGCTTCAGAATATTTAGACCAACAGCGTGATTCCACAGCATGTCGGAGAATACTAGAGTTTGATCTACTTTTCCCAAATTCTTGCATTTTTAGTTTCTCCTTAATTGAATCATATATTGTAGGAAGGGTCACAGCTTCTGACAGATAGATGTTTGGTATCTGAACGATGGTCCTTCATAATACATGACTTGGTTGATTAACCTCTCTTAGCTTTGAAAATTCTGGGAGGTGGTTGTGGGTATTATGTATGACTTCCTGTATTAGGGTTCTCCAGAGCAACAGAACCAATAGGAAGTATATAAATTTATATCAGTAGGAAATAAATATACAGTTGACCCTTGGACGACATGTGGGTTACGCATAGTTGGCAATCTGAGTAGAGGCTTACAATCTGCCCTCCATATCCCTAGTTCTGCATCTGCTGCTTTACTCAAAGTTCATCAGTTTAAATCTCATCCAAAACGCCCTCACAGAAACATCCAGAATAACATTTGACTGAAAATCTGGGCAACTCACAGCCCAGTCAAGTCAACACATAAAATTAACCATCACACTTCTGTACACCCTTGCGTATTCATCTCATGTGCACATTCCAAGCCAGCTATAGTAATTTTACCCCCTTGCCAGTGATTTTACCAATAGGATGGACATCCTAAGCCATATGGTACAAGAGATGTGCGCAAAAGCCAATGGTAGGGCTCCTAGCAGAAGTTCCCTTGACCCAAAGAGAGTGCTGTGTGACACAATGCTCTCTTCCCCCTCTGGATGTTTTTTGGTTGAAGGTGATGGCAGAGAGGAGAAATGGAAAAGCCAGGTCCCTTGTCACGTGGCCACTGATTCAACCTGCCCCAGCACCCTCCTCCCATTGGTCTCTCTGTTCGCTGAGATAAAAAATGGCTCTATTGTTCAAGCCGCTTCAAGTTGTGGTTTCTGTTCCTTGAGGCTGAGGGTTTCCTAATATAGATCTATCCTCAGAGACTTGGCAATCTCTGCAGCCTTTAATTACACCGCCTGTTTGTGACAGGCAATCTTCTGTATACATAATAAATTAAATTTCATTCCTATCTCAGAATTCAGTTTTTCTAATGACCTTTTAAGCGACAAATATGTTTCTAGATTTTAATTAAAATCAGCCATGCATGATGCTCCCAATGCAACCAGTCCATCAGAGGTCGCAGAGGTGAAGACACCATTTCTTTAAGGCAGCATGTGGACAATTCCTATATTGCCTCTCCTGGTGCCAAGTTTCCCTTGGCAATGACTGCCAGATGTGACTCAATTTCAGAAATGTTAAAATGTGAGAAAATGTGAGTCTTAAAATGAAGGAAGCATTTTTGGATACGAGGAGAAGCAAGTTTATGCTTTTTATTTTTTATTTTTTCCTTTTTGGGGGAAGAAGTGGTAGTTTAGGACTAAGTGGAAACCAAGAATGAGAAGAAGGGACTCTGAGCTGAGGACAGGATTATCTGGTATCCAGCTTGGGGACTTGACTTCTGAAACATAAGCAGATGCCATCATGAGGATCCTTCATTATCCAAATATGTTCTATGCACCACTCTGGCATTTGTGCCTAAATATGAGCCATATTGATCCCTATCCATATTTCTGTTAATGCAAAGACAGTTTTTCCTTCCTTTCTTCAATAACTTTGACCAGAAAACTTTATGGAGTGACTATGTCAGGCCTTGGGCCAAGGGAGAAAGACTCGGAGATAAATAAGGCACATTCCCTTCAAGGACCTCACAGTTTCATAGGACAGGTTATAATGTATATAATATACTTGTGTATATGTATGTACATGCTTGCATACCACAGTGCAGTAGTCTGATGCTTGAGTCCCCCAAATTTGTATATTGAAATCCTAACCCCTATTGTGATGATAATTGAAGGTGGAGCTTTGGGGAGGTGATTAGGTCACCAGGGTGAGCTCTCATGGTTGAGATCAGTACCCTTATAAAAGAGACCCCAGAGAGCCAGCTCGTGCCTTCTGCCATGTGAAGACACTGTGAAAAGATGGCCATCTAGGAAGTGGGCCGTCACCTGACATTTAACCTGCTAGCACCATCATCTTGAACTTCCCAGCCCTCAGAAACATGAGAAATAAATATCTGTTGTTTGTAAGCCACCCAGTCTGTGGTATTTTGTTATAGCAGCCTGAATGGACCAAGACACATAGAGGATAATAGTTGGAAGGGTATCCTCCAAGACACCGACTGTGCTTACCTGTTTCCTTCTGTACTTTAGTGCTCTTTAAAAATACTTTTTTTTTAAAAATTGGCATGTGTTACTGGGGCAGAAGGGAGACCAGTGAAGAGGCTTTGCAGTGGCCCAGGCAAGAGACAGTGGTGGCTTGGGCAGCAAGGCTGTGGAAGACAGAGTTGCCTGGACTGGGAACTACCGAGGAGGGGAAATCAGGACTTGGCGGTAGGAGATGAGAGCAGTCAAGACAGCTTGAGTGATGATGGAGTGGATGGTGGGTGGATGCTGGGGGGCGTGGGGAGTGTGCGAAAGAGAGGTAGCATTGGCGGGAAGAGGGACGGTCTGCACCTGAGAGAAAGAACGAACAGATGAACGAATAGCAGTTTATCTTTAGGCCACTGCTAACCAGTCTCAGGGTATGAAAATCCACCCTCCCTTCGCGGAGCGAAAAAGTCTCCTGGTTGGTTTTCATTATCTCACTTGTTACAACTTGCTTTATGACTTAGGTTCCCCGCTCCATGAGCTGGTGGGCTTCTCCAGCTCAGAGAATCAGGCCGGCCTTGTTGGTCGCTGTGTCCCCAGAATTCGGCAAGTCTGTCTCAGGGTGGGCGCGCAGCGCTTCGGACCCCGGGCGGTGCTGGAGGACCCAGGGCGGGGAGCCCCCATCCTCAGCCCAGGCCACGCC